AAAACGTAATCAAAGCTCTCCTGACAAAGAGCCATCCAGCCATAGATAGCCATGGATAGATATGATTCATACACAGAGATATAGTATCATAGATTTGAAAGGGATCCCTAAAGATGGATAATTATATTTTGCATTTTCCAGAGTAGGCAAACCAGACACTCTCCACATCAACACTGACAAAGAAACAGCAAGAAATGCTGTTTACCCACAAGCATAAAGAAATTACATATATTAGAAACCAACACTTTCTCATTACTTTATTTTCCAGATCACCAGACTGGGCCACAGCAACGCGTGACAGGGGACAGCTAGTGTAACAAAAAAGAGCTAATCCTTCTCAGCTTTCCCGGCATGGGCAGGAACTGGTAATAATATTACATTCCCATCAAACTTTATTTCCAACTCATGCCAGACTAATCTGATCTCTTTTTCGATAGAATTACAAACTGGGTAGGTACAGGGAATGCCGTGGATGTAGCGTATCTGGACTTCAGTAAGGCTTTTGACAAGGTCTCCCATGACCTGGCAAACAAACTAATCAAATGCCGGATAGGTAAACTACGTTTAGGTGGATCTGTAATCGGTTAAATGAACAAACCCAACAGTGATTCTCTCCAATGCTTCCTCAATGGGATTTTGGCCTGCATAACTAGGATCCAGGAAATCCATGCTACCTCTCTATTCTGCCTTGGTCAGACCACACTTGGAATACTGTGTTCATTTCTATGCACCACAATTGGAAAGAGATGTTAACAAGCTGGAACGTGTCTAGAGGAGGATGACTATTATGATCAAGGGTTTGGAGAACAAGCCCTATGAGGAGCGGCTTAAAGAGCTGGGCATATTTAGCATAAAGAAGAGAAGGCTGAGAGGAGACATGCTGGCCATGTATATATATAAGTGAGAGGGAGTCCACAGGGAGGAGGGAGCAAGCTTGTTTTCTGCTTCCCTGGAGACTAGGACATGGAACAATGGCTTCAAACTACAGGAAAGGAGATTCCACCTGAGCATGAGGAAGAACTTCCTGACTGTGAGAGCCGTTCAGCAGTGGAACTCTATGCCCTGGAGTGTGGTGGAGGCTCCTCCTTTGGAGGCATTTAAACAGAGGCTGGATGGCCATCTGTCGGGGGTGAATTGAATGTGATTTTCCTGCTTCTTGGCAGGGAGTTGGACTGGCTGGCCCAGGAGGTCTCTTCCAACTCTATGATTCTATGAACTCTACCGATCACTTTATATTACTGAATATTATTTTCCGTTTCTAAGCACAACATTAGGTATTGTCAAAGGCTTTCATGGCCAGAATCACTGAGCTGTTGTAGGTTTTTTCAGGGTATATGGCCATGTTCTAAAGGCATTCTCTCCTGACGTTAAGATGGAAAGGAGATTCCATCTAAACATGAGGAAGCACTTCCTGACTGTGAGAGCTGTTCAGCAGTGGAACTCTCTGCCCCAGAGTGTGGTGGAGGCTCCTTCTTTGGAAGCTTTTAAACAGAGTCTGGATGGCCATCTGTCAGGAGTGCTTTGAATGCAATATTCCTGCTTCTTGGCAGGGGGTTGGACTGGATGGCCCATGAGGTCTCTTCCAACTCTATGATTCTATGATTCTATGACGTTTTGCCTGCATCTATGGCAAACATCCTCAGAGGTAGTGAGATCACTACCTCTGAGGATGCCTGCCATAGATGCAGGCGAAATGTCAGGAGAGAATGCCTCCAGAACAGGGGTCCACAAACTTTTTCAACAGAGAGCCAGGTCACAGTCCCTCAAACTGTTGGAGGGCCGGATTATAATTTATATATATATAAAAAATGAAATAATTCCTAAGCACACTGCACATATCTTATTCATACAATTTGTATTTAAAACAATACAATAATTAAAATGAAGAATTTTAACAAATATAAGCTTATTAATATTTCAGTGGGAAGTGTGGGCCTGCTTTTGGCTGATGAGATAGGATTGTTGTTGTTGTTGTGTGCTTTCAAGTCATTTCAGACTCCTGAGCGAGGGCCGGGTAAATGACCTTGGAGGGCCGTATCCGGCCCTCGGCCGTAGTTTGAGGACCCCTGTTCTAGAGACATTCTCCCCTGACGTTCAGATGGAAAGAGATTCCATCTGAACATGAGGAAGAACTTCCTGACTGTGGGAGCCGTTCAACAGTGGAACTCTCTGCCCCGGAGTGTGGTGGAGGCTCCTTCTTTGGAAGCTTTTAAACAGAGGCTGGATGGCCATCTGTCAGGAGTGCTTTGAATGCAATATTCCTGCTTCTTGGCAGGGGGTTGGACAGAATGGCCCATGAAGGACAGGGCCTTCTCGATGGTGGCCCCACAACTCTGGAACTCCCTCCCCAAGGATATCAGGCAGGCCCCAATGTTGGCAGGTCTTTAGAAGGAGCTTGAAGAAATGGATGTTCCAGTGTGCCTTCGCAGAATAAGGAAGCCTAAGCAATACGTCCTAAATGCACTTTACGAGAGACTTAGAATTGTCTACATGCCCACCTATCCCAAAATATCACTCCTATTTCCCCTGGACATGACCAGCATTTTAAATTTTAAATTCTTACATTTGGCCCTGCCACAGGTTTTTAAAATGTGTCGTGTTATTATTGTATTGTTTTTGTTTTTATGAGTTATTTATTGTTGTTTTGTTGTTATTATGTTTTATGATGTGTTTGGGATCGGCCTCTTGTAACAGCACCGAGTCCTGCGGGAAATGGTAGTGGGGTATAAATAAAGGTTTATTATTATTATTATTACTAGCTGTCCCCTGGCATGCGTTGCTGTGGCCCAGTCTGGTGATCTGGAAAATAAAGTAATGAGAAAGTGTTGGTTTCTAATATATGTAATTCCTTTATGCTTGTGAGTAAACAGTATTTCTTGTTGTTTCTTTGTCAGTGTTGATGTGGAGAGTGTCTGGTTTGCCTACTCTGGAACATGGAAGATATTATTGTCCTTCTTTAGGGGTCCCTTTCAAATTTATGATACTATATCTGTGTGTGTGAGAGAGAATCATATCTCTACCTATATTTATGACTGGATGGCTCTTTGTCAGGAGGGCTCTGATTACATTTTCTTGCCCTGGTGAAGAGAGTTGGACTGGATGGCCTTAAGTATTTTCTGTTGGTCATAGGGGTTCTGTGTGGGAAGTTTGCCCCATTTCTGTCGTTTGTGGGTTTCAGAATGCTCTTTAATTGTAGTGAACTATAAATCTCAGTAACTACAAATCCCAAATGTCAAGGTCTATTTCCTTTAAACTCAATCTGTGTTCATATTTAGGCATATGGAATATTTGTGTCAAGTCTGGTCCAGATCTATCATTGTTTGAGTCCACAGTGCTCTCTGGATGTGGGTGAACTATAATTCCCAAACTCAAGGTCAATGTCCACCAAACCTTACCAGTTTTTTCTGTTGGTCATGGGAGCCCTGTGTGCTTAGTTTGGCCCATTTCCATCATTCGTGGAGTTCAGAATGCTCTTTGATTGTAGGTAAACTATAAATCCCAGCAACGACAATTCCCAAATGACAAAATCATTTTTTTTTTAGTGGAGGACATAAATTGGACTGTTAGGTGTCTTATGTCCAAATTTGGTGTCAATTCCCTCAGTGGTTTTTGAGTTCTGATGGTAGCACGAACTAACATTACATTTTTATTTATATAGATTATTATTATGAGGTGTCTTCCAACTCTATGATGCTATGACGTTTCGCCTGCATCTAGGGCAAACATCCTCAGAGGTAGTGAGGTCACTACCTCTGAGGATGCTTGCCATAGATGCAGGTGAAAGGTCAGGAGAGAATGCCTCTAGAACATGGCCATATAGCCCGAAAAAACCTCCAACAACCCACAACATTTGGTATTTTCCCCTTAACAGCGTTCCCAAATCCTGGCACCTGGTGTTCCCCTTCCAAATCCTAACCAGACCTGGTCTCGATTGGCTTCCAGGAACAGACAGGATCTATTCTAGACAGAAGTTTTATTCCCCCCAAATGATCAAAAGGGAGCTTCACAACACAGGAGGGTGACTAAAATGATCAAGGGTCTGTAGAACAAGCCCTATGAGGAGCGGCTTGGTGTGATATTATAATTTTTTTTCACTAATTAAACCATAAAACTGGCCCAGACATGCGGAAATAATAACGAAACGACCGCAAAACAATAACAAAACGAATACAATATCGAAATACGAAGCATTTACAAAACGTTTTTGAAAATTCGTTTTTTAAAATAATTGCTCGGAATGGTTCGTTATCGTTTTGTAATTGAAAAAATTAACAAATTATTAACGAATTACGAATTAACGAAACGAAACCGCCCAGCCCTAATAAATATGTGAGGGGAAGTGATAGGGAGGGGGGAGCAGGCTTGTTTTCTGCTTCCTTGGAGACTAGGACATAGAACAATGGTTTCAAACTACAAGAGAGGAGATTCCATCTGAACATGAAGAAGAACTTCCTGACTGTGAGAGCCGTTCAGCAGTGGAACTCTCTGCCCCGGAGTGTGGTGGAGGCTCCTTCTTTGGAGGCTTTTAAACAGAGGCTGGATGGCCATCTGTCAGGGGTGATTTGAATATTCCTGCTTCTTGGCAGGGGGTTGGACTGGATGGCCCATGAGGTCTCTTCCAACTCTTTGATTCTATGATTCTAGGATCTCCCCCGGTTAACCTGCTTCCAGCAATATTGTGCTTGCTTTTTTGCCTCCTGGAGAGAGAGGAGACTCGGAGAGGTAGCAAAGTTACAGGAGGGAGGGGGGAGTAACTTTGTGGGGATTGAGGGGACAGGTGTCCCTTCCAAATGCCGAAGTTTTCATGAACAGGAGGAAGGGGTGAAGCAGGTGCCTTTGGCGCACGACTGAGCTGCGAGGACTTGCAGAGGAGGAGAAGCAATGCCACAAAAGGGCCGGTGTTCCTCCTTCTTTAACACCAAAGCCATTCGTTTCACCAGAACCTGGGCTGGATCGTCCCAAGCTCCCTCCCTCGCCTCCCGTTTCCAATGCCGACTTACCAAGCCGCGGGGAGAGCCCTGGAATTCTTGTCTGAGTTCTGATCTCCGGGAAGGAGCGGATCCTTCCTTTTCTTCTGCAAAGAGAATGAGGAGGAGGGGGTCCGTTCAGGTACCCTTCTCCGTTCGGTGCAGAAAGCCTGAATGGGGAAAGTCGCTGGAAGATTCCGCTCCGGCGCCTCGCCTGGCTCGTTGGCGGAGCGAATCGGAGGGCGGGCAAGGAAAAACCCCAAGCCACACCTACGAGGCAGTCAAGGAGCCCCAGGAAGGAGAAGGAGAGGGAGAAAGAGAAGGAGGGGGGGAGGAGGAGAAAAGAGAAAGCGAGGAGGAGGAGGAGGAGGGACCAGACAAGCGCGCCTCCCAAGCCAAGGAACCAGTCACCTCCCCGGAGTGTTTAGGGCTATAGAGCAGTGCGTGTGTTTATGTCTATATATGTGTATACACGCATACACAAGTGTATGTATGTATGTTGTTGTTGTTCATTCGTTCAGTCGTCTCCGACTCTTCGTGACCTCATGGACCAGCCCACGCCAGAGCTCCCTGTCGGCCGTTACCACCCCCAGCTCCCTCAAGGTCAGTCCAGTCACTTCAAGGATGCCATCCATCCATCTTGCCCTTGGTCGGCCCCTCTTCCTTTTGCCTTCCACTTTCCCCAGTATAATTGTCTTCTCTAGGCTTTCCTGTCTCCTCATGTTGTTGTTCAATCGTTCAGTCGTCTCCGACTCTTCGTGACCTCATGGACCAGCCCACGCCAGAGCTCCCTGTCGGCCGTCACCACCCCCAGCTCCTTCAAGGTCAGTCCAGTCAATTCAAGGATGCCATCCATCCATCTTGCCCTTGGTCGGCCCCTCTTCCTTTTTCCATTTTCCCCAGCATAATTGTCTTCTCTAGGCTTTCCTGTCTCCTCATGATGTGGCCAAAGTACTTCAACTTTGTCTCTAGTATCTTTCCCTCCAGTGAGCAGTCGGGCTTTATTTCCTGGAGGATGGACTGGTTGGATCTTCTCGCAGTCCAAGGCACTCTCAGCACTTTCCTCCAGCACCACAGCTCAAAAGCATCGATCTTCCTTCGCTCAGCCTATGTGTGTTTATATATGACAATAAAACATCTCAGTTCTTGTGGGTTTTTTCGGGCTATATGGCCATGTTCTAGAGGCATTTCTCCTGACGTTTCGCCTGCATCTATGGCACCCTGCCTGTTTTTCTCTCTGTTGTTTTGCTGTTGTAATTTTAGAATTTTTTAATACTGGTTGCCAGATTTTGTTCATTTTCATGGTTTCTTCCTTTCTGATGAAATTGTCCACATGCTTGTGGATTTCAATGGCTTCTCTGTGTAGTCTGACATGGTGGTTGTTGGTGTGGTCCAGCATTTCTGTCTTCTCAAATAATATGCTGTGTCCAGGTTGGTTCATCAGGTGCTCTGCTATGGCTGACTTCTCTGGTTGAAGTAGTCTGCAGTGCCTTTCATGTTCCTTGATTCGTGTTTGGGCTGCTGCGTTTGGTGGTCCCTATGTAGACATGTCCACAGCTGCATGGTATACGGTAGACTCCTGCAGAGGTGAGAGCATCCCTCTTGTCCTTTGCTGAACGTAGCTTTGTTGGATTTTCTTGGTGGGTTTGTAGATTGTTTGTATGTTGTGTTTCCTCATCAGCTTCCCTATGCGGTCAGTGGTTCCCTTGATGTATGGCAGGAACACTTTTCCTCTGGGTGGATCTTCATCTTTACTCTCGTGGCTTGTTCTTGGTCTTGCAGCAGGCCGTAGCCAGGATTTCGTTCGGGGGGGGGGCTGAATTTTTTTTCAGGGGGGGTTTTGGGGGGGCTGAGTTTCGGGGGGGGGGGCTGAGTCTGAGTGAAAGAGGGTCTAGCCTAGCAAACCTTTTGTATCATTACCCCAATACCCCCATATATTGAGTATGGTGATCAGATCATGATATGAATAAACATAACAGTTTAAATAATGCACCAGTAAGGCCTTTTCTCGAACCACCATGAGAATTTCGGGATGGGTGGGGCTGAAGCCCATCATTCATCTTTACTCTCGTGGCTTGTTCTTGGTCTTGCAGCTCTTCTGATGTCTGGGGTGGAGTATCCATTGGCCTGGAGAGCCCAGTTGAGGTGGTTCAGTTCATCTTGGAGGAGGTGGGGTTCGCAGATTCTTTTTGCACGGTCTGCCAAGGCTTTAATGGTGCTTCTTTTTTGACTTGGGTGATGGTTGGAGTTTTTATGTAGATATCTATCTGTGTGTGTGGGTTTTCTGTAAACGGTGTGACCCAATTGTTGATCTGGTTTGCGGATGACTAGGACATCTAGAAAAGGCAGTCTTCCTTCCTTTTCTTTTTCCATAGTGAACTGGATGTTTGGGTGGATGCTGTTAAGATGTTCTAGGAACCTGTTGAGTTCTTCTTCTCCATGGCTCCAAATGGTGAAAGTGTCACCCACATATCTGAACCATATAGTGGGCTTTTTGTTTGCTGTTTCAAGAGCTTGTTTTTCAAAGTGTTCCATGTAGAAGTTAGCTATGACTGGGCTGAGAGGGCTCCCCATAGCTACTCCATCTTTCTGTTCATAGAATTCATTGTCCCACTGAAAATAGCTGGTGGTGAGGCAATGGTGAAACAGCGCCGTGATGTCTTCTGGGAACCTCTGGTTGATGAGTGCCATGGTGTCTGCAACTGGGACCATGGTAAATAGAGACACCACATCGAAGCATTTGTATTTAACTTGAGATTGCTGATTTTTTCAATGAAGTGGGCTGAGTCCTTGATGTAGTGTGTTGTGAGCCCAATGTGGCTTTGTAACTGTGCAGCAAGAAATTTGGCTAAGTCATATGTGGGGGATCCAATGGCACTCACAATGGGTCTGAGTGGGGTGGAGTCCTTATGGATTTTTGGGAGTCCATAAAGCCTGGGTGGAAGGGCTTCCGATTTACATAGCTGCTGTCGTATGTCAAAGTTGATTGAGGAGTTCTTAATTAGAGTGTTGGTTTTCCTGGTTATTTTGGAAGTTGGGTCTTGCTTAAGTTTTCTGTTTTATTGACATGCTAGCCGTCCCCTGCCACGCGTTGCTGTGGCCCGGTCTGGTGATCTGGAAAATAAAGTAATGAGAAAGTGTTGGTTTCTAATCTATCTATCTTTCTATCTATCTGTATCTATCTATCTACCGCTATCTATCTACAGCTATCTATCTATCTATCTATCTATCTATCTATCTATCTATCTATCTATCTGTATCTATCTATCTATCTATCTATCTATCTATCTATCTATCTATCTATCTATCCTATCTATCTATCTATCTATCTATCTATCTATCTATCTTCTATCTATCTATCTATCTATCTATCTATCTATCTATCTATCTATCTGTATCTATCTATGTATGTATCTATCTATGTATGTATCTATCTATCTGTATCTATCTACCTCTATCTATCTATCTATCTATCTATCTATCTATCTATCTATCTATCTATCTGTATCTATCTATCTATCTATCTATCTATCTATCTATCTGTATCTATCTATCTATCTGTATCTATCTACCTCTATCTATCTATCTATCTATCTATCTATCTACCTCTATCTATCTATCTATCTATCTATCTATCTATCTGTATCTATCTATCTACCTACCTCTATCTATCTCTATCTATCTATCTACCTATCTGTATCTATCTATCTATATCTATCTATCTATCTATCTATCTATCTATCTATCTATCTCTATATAAATCTATATAAATATTTATATATCTATATAAATAAAAATGTAATGTTCGTTTGTGGGATAAACAGAACTCAAAATCCACTGGATGAATTGGCACCAAATTTGGACACAAGACACCTAACAACCCAATGTATATCCTTCATTCAAAAAATTGATTTTGTCATTTGCGAGTTGTAGTTGCTGGGAATTATAGTTCACCTACAATCAAAGAGCATTCTGAACTCCACCAACAATGGAAATTGGACCAAACTTAGCACACAGGGCTCCCATGACCAACAGAAAACTGTAATGTTGCTACTGTTATGAATCGTAATGTAAATATCCAATATGCAGGATGTATTTTCATTCGCTGGACCAAATTTGGCACAAATACCCAATATGCCCAAATTTGAATACTGGCGGGGTTGGGGGGAGGGACTGGTTTTATCATTTGAGAGTTGTACTTGCTGGGATTTATAGTTCACCTACAATCAAAGAGCATTCTGAACTCCACCAATGATGGAATTGAACCAAACTTAGCACACAGGACTCCCATGACCAACAGAAAACACTAGAAGGGTTTGGTGGGCATTGACCTTGAGTTTGGAGTTGTAGTTCACCTACATCTAGAGAGCACTATGGACACAAGCAATGATGGATATGGATCAAACTTGGCACGAATATTTCATATGCGCAAAAATGAACACAGATAGAGTTTGGGGGAAATAGACTTTGACATTTGGGAGTTATAGTTACTGGGATTTATAGTTCACCTACAATCCAAGAGCATTCTGAACCCCACCAATGACAGAATTGAGGCAAACTTCCCACACAGAACCCCCATGACCAACAGAAAATACTTAAGGCCATCCAGTCCAACTCCCTTCACCAGGGCAAGAAAACGTAATCAAAGCCCTCCTGACAAAGAGCCATCCAGCCATGGATATAGATAGATATATATGATTCACACAGAGAGGCAGGCCCGTAGCCAGGATTTTGTTTTTTTTTGGGGGGGGGCTGAGTCTGAGTGAAAGAGGGTCTACCCTAGCAAACCTTTTGTATCATTACCCCAATACCCCCATGCATATGGGATATATTGAGTATGGTGATCAGATCATGATATGAATAAACATAACAGTTTAAATAATGCACCAGTAAGGTTTTTCGCGAACCACCATGAGAATTTGGGGGGGGGGGCTGAAGCCCCTCAAGGCCCCCCCCCCCCCGGCTACATGCCTGATCCAGCCAAAGATATAGATAGATATATATGATTCACACACACATAGAGATATAGTATCATAGATTTGAAAGGGACTCCTAAAAAAGGACAATTATATGTTGCATATTCCAGAGTAGGCAAACCAGACAATCTCCACATCAACACTGAGAAAGAAACAGCAAGAAATACTGTTTGCTCACAAGCATAAAGACATAACATATATTAGAAACCAACACTT